TTTATTTGCTCTGTTCTTTCTACGCATCATGTTTAACAAACTCATTATTTAAGTATGACCAAATGGGAAGATAGTGATTTTAAAAATATTCTGAGTGTCACAAAGCTGTCTCTATACAATCTGAGAAATATTTTCAATCTGTGGCTGGACTGAATTTCCATTTATGAATTGAATATAAGGACAGTTACAGATAATCTGTGTGTTTACATGTTATATAAAATATCTGTGCTATCCCCATTCTTTTTCTGAAATGATACCTCAGTATATCCAGTGAAGAATAATTAGTACCCTAGAAAATGAGCATGTCAAACTAGGACCTTTTATGACTTAAATATGCTTCTAAGGTTCATTTAAGCATTTGAAGAACAATATGTTTAAAAAATGTTTAAGAGCAAACATTGTTTTCCAAAGCCTGAAGTTGTTTTCCAAGAAGAAACAATTTCTTTTATATGTCTATCAACATTCGTTAATGTCATATTACTTTAAGGATTATGGTGATATAATCATTTTAGTGTATCCATTGACAAAAATGTAAGAACCAACCATATAAAAAACAGCAAGCATCAGGTTCACTGAGCATGGATGTGTTGTGGTACAATAAGGACCCGGAAAATGAGCAGGGCAGCAAAGAGTGAAGGAAGCCACTGACCAAGAAGGAAAGAACCCAACAAGCAAAGTTTGCTTTAACCAGCATCTGATTTGGGGTCAATACTGTTGGTCCTGGTTGAGTACCTTTAGAATCAGGCTCCATGTGCTGTAAAGATCAGGTAATAAAGAAGTGCCTTCCTTGTCTCAAAAAAAAGATATATGTCCCCCAAATTTGCTAGGCCAGATGTAGAGACAGATGTGGAAACACAACACACCTATGTTTATTCACTCCTGATAGGGAACCTATGACAGAACAAAGTATGGTTATCACCAAAGTCCAGTTGGGGCTTAGCATGGTGGTACATACCTTTGATCACAACTCTTGAAAGGAAGAGGCAGGAGGATCTCTGTGAGTTCAAACCCAAAATGGGCTACTGATCAAGTCCCAGTATAGCCAGGAATTCACAGAGAAACTCTATGTCCAGAAACAGAAGAAGAAGAAGAAGAGGAGGAGGAGGAGGAAGAGGAAGAGGAAGAGGAAGAAGAGGAAGAAAGTAATACAATTTGGTAAACTGTGAGATTTCTTGGGTTCCTTATAGGTTGTTATATAATGGGTATGACATGCTCTAATGTAGGCCACACTTTCAGGTCAGGAGTTAATGGTTTAAATGGACTCCATAAGGTATCTCTGTGTGTCTTACTCATTTTCTTTTTTATTTACTTATGTATTCATTTTTTTAAAGATAATAATCTTGACATTTGGTGAGTTTGATATGGGTAATAGCTGCAGGAGTTGAAGGAACATGATTTCATATATCTTCACATTTATATATTGGTTGTTTGTGAAGGTCTTTCTGTGGAGCTCTAGCTCTCCTGGAAAGTGTAAATAGATTAGGCTAGCCAACTCACAGGAATCTGCCTGCCTCTGCTTCCTCATTCCTGGGATGAAAGCTAGATCCTATGCCAAAGTAATGTAAATACATTTAGTAAACTCTTTTTCTAAAAAGCCAGTAATTATTTGTTTGATTCCACCAAGATGGCTCACCAGGTAAAGGCATTTGCAAAACGTAGATTCCTGAAACTTGTCCACTGACCTCCTCATGTGACTCCACAATCTTCACACTACATAAAATGCAGTTTTTAAAAGTAATTTCAAGAATTAAAAAGAAATCTTCCTTTAATGGATATATCACTGAATCTTAGGGTGCTGGCATAGGAGCAAGGATGAGGTTGGAAGGTCCATCTCAAGCCACCCCATACATTGTAACACATCTGTCTGTTCTCATGACTTCCTCACAAAATCGAATCATATCCTGTTTTCTCTCCACCTGCCTATCTTTGTCTTCAAAAGAAGTGAGATTGAATCAGGGTCCTGTTCATAGTAAAAATGGAAAAAGAAATCTGTTTCACTCAGATAAATTTCTAATGTTAATCCCATTTTTTCAAATGAAAAGTTTTGGTCACATATCTGGTGTACTTCAAAGTCACTCTGTAGCCCATGCTGTCCTTGAACTGGCAGTTCTCCTGGTGCACTTCGCAAGTAGGTGTGATTGTAAGGTATGACCACAGATTTTGCTCTTATGTAGCCCTTGATAACATTAAGGGTGTGTATATTTTCTTCTCATTTGAAAATCTAGAGACTCATGGAGTGCTTTTGTCTGTTTTTGAAAGATTGATTTGCTTACTATGTTTAAAGTGTTCTGTCTGCATGTATACATGCAGGTCTCAAGAGGGCACTGAAGAGGGCACCAGATCTCACTACAGATGGTTGTGAGTCACCATGTAATTGCTGGAAATTTAATTTAGGACCTTTGGAAGACAGCCAGTTCTCTTGACCTAGGGCCGTCTCTCCAGCCCAAATCTTAGTTTTTTATTATATGTGTGTGTGTATGTGTGTGTGTGTGTGTGTGTGTGTGTGTGTGTGTGTGTGTAGTACATAGTATATACATAATTATATTTATGTTTAATTGTATGTCTTTGTGTGTGTAGTTTTGCACATCTAAAATTAACATGTAAAATTTACCAATGTAATGTACATTATATTTGACATTCAAGGTGTTCATGTGTTGATAGCAAGTTTTTTATCTTTATTGAATTAATGTACAAAATATAAAGTGTATTGATTTAACATATTTGGGCCAAATAACACCATGAATTAGTTAACTGTGAAGCCTTGTTTTTAGAGCCTTGTCATTTTTTTATGGTTAGTATGGCTATGTTATACTCAACTGCAATTTTTATTTTTTCTCATTGATTTAATTTAATATTTTACTATTAAACTTGTACATTTGTTTCTATCATAACATTTCTCCATTAGGATTTTGGATTCTGCTATTTGGGACATGATATGACTTACACTGATTGGCTGATTTGGAGCTGGTCAAACAGACTCCAGGTATGGACTCCTCTCAATCAACAGCTTAAGCTGCCCCACTTGCCTACTGTCTATACTTAAGTGTTCTCTCTCTCTCCCTCTCCCTCTCGTTCTCCCTCTCTCACTGCTACCCCTAAGTCTGTAGACTACTTCCACAACCTAACTCCCAGGAGAACAGGTCTGGAAGTTTTAAGGATATACCCAATAAAAACTTTTTCTACTAAGCTCTTTAACTTTACCTTATTTCTCTTGTCTATATCTGTCAAATTGGATTTCTAATCACTTAAAGAGTGCAAACTGCTACAAATCAAAATGACCCAGTCCTATACTTGCTGAAAACCAATGTAAGCTAGATGTTTCTCTTGGAATTTACAGCTGGGCTTGAACCACAATTTTGAGACTGCTCCAAAGCTGCCTGCACTTTGCTAGTCCCATATTGTTACACAGAACCTGGGAAGCCCACACTCCTCTCCTTCCTCCCAACCTTTGGTCAGCCCAAAGGTCCTGATAATATCCTGATTTCAGCTAAGAATCAGTTACTGAATAGATTACATTATCATCAACAGAAAGACTGATAAATCAGGCTCAAAAGAAACTCAGGACAAATGGCTAACTATGGTGCTTATTAGAATAATAATAATAATCAGTTAAATAATAAAGTACATGCTGGCCTCTAAGCACTCTGCACAAGTATTTGTTACAGAGTCCACTCAGGTATTTGGAATCCTGGCTCCTCTAAGCTCTTCTCATTCCAGGTTCCATGCTAAACTTCTCCTGATTATGGGCTTCCCTCACCATCTTCTGATTCCCATATAACCCTGACATTTTGACTGTGCACCTCTTGGCTCTCTTGGTTCTCTTGCCACTCTCTCTTGGCTCCTCTCTGTTGGTCCTCCTTTCTTGCTCCCTATCTCATGGTCTGGACTGTTCTGCTGGCTGTGTGCAGTCTTCTACTTTCTCTCCTTGCTCTAGACTCTTCCAGGTGCCCCTGGCTGTGTCATGTCTATCAAAAAACCTTCCACTTGACCATTACAAGAAAGAAAAAATGCATTATTTTTTTCACCTGCACATACAGAATTAAATATAAGTGTGTCTCTATGACATACAAGCAGAGGGGACCATGTGGGAACAGAAAGAACTAACAGGAGTATAAGGATAGGACGGGGCAGTAGAGGAGAAATACTGAGTAAATTACAATGATGTGCATCTTTGTATCAAAGTTTCCTAATGTAAAGCATTACTTTATACACACACTAAAAATTAACAAAACAAAGAAGAAAAAGTGAAATGCAAGTATGAAATACTGAGCAGAAATGTAGGTTTATAATGATCTTATACCATAGGCTATTTGAATGAGGTTTACATGTCTTTATAAATACAATTCATTTCCTTTGCCCCAGTGTCACAGAGCAAAAATTTCTTAAAGTTTCTTGTAGGGTTTCTTTATGTTTAAAATATTATAATGGGTGTTTTAAGATAGAATTCCATGAAGCATATTGGAGTTAGTGGTAAAGTATAACAAATTAGTAAAAAAAGAAGCAAATATTTGTTTTGTTGTTTTTCAAGACAAGGTTTCTCTGTGTCGCTTTCTGCCTTTCCTCGGACTCACTTGGTAGTCCAGGCTGGGCTTGAACTCACAGAGATCCACCTGGCTCTGTCTCCAGAGCGCTGGGATTAAAGGCGTGCACCACCATGCCTGGCTACAAAAGAAGCAAATATTTGATGACTCAAGACTCTAAGTTTCATGGCTGGAGAGATGACTAAGATGTCAAGAGAAATGCCCTGCCTTTGTAGAGGATCTGAGTTCAGTTCCAAGACACAAGGCAGGAGGCTTACAGCACATGTAACTGCAACTTCATGGGAACCATTGCATACTTCTGACCTTTGAATGCACTGTACACAGAAATACAGAAATACATACACACACACACACACACACACACACATACACACACACACACACACACACATACTACAATGAGCACTACCACCACTACCACTGCTGCTACTAATAATATCTTAAAAAAATAACTCCACATTTCAATAACAGGATTTATTCTGTGACTGCATCCAGGCATTTACATGTATAAGGACAGTAAAATAAACCCCTGTGTCCAAATATGATTTAAAAGTGTTAACAACTTATTCCCATGGAAAAAGCCCTGTAGGAAAACCGGCCATTTTCTCATGAAATACTTTATCAAAGGCTTCAGCTTGGGCTACTGTAAAGTGATTCTTCCAGTCCCCAGTCGTGCCTGGAAAATGTTAAACAGACACATAGATGGGTTAATGATGATCTCAACACTGCTCTCAGTTCTTTCTTAACACACTCTTACCATCAACTTGTCAACGACCACACAGTTAATAAAGATGAAGTACCAGTGACTTTCTGGAGAACACATCTTATGCCTTGAAGTAATATACATCAGACTTCTACCTCTGTGGCAATAATGGCCCCCCTTCTCCTATCCCACCATATCAACAGCTTTAACACTAGCTCTAGCTTTTAGATGTTGAGATTATTCCTGCTTCCCACTACACCTGCTTCCATCACACTGTCCAACCCAACAGAGTTTCTTGTCTCAGTTATCAAAACAGACTTCAATTCTTTTTTCTACCTTTTACAGTTTACTTATAAAAGGTCTGCAAAGCATGCAAGCAACTTTTAAAACATCCTTTAATGTTAATTTTAATTATATATGTGTATAGGTGCACATGAATGCAGGTGCCTATAGGGGTTTGAGGCTTCAGATCCCCTTGAGCTGTAGATACACACTGTTGTGAGCTACATGCCAAACTTCTTGATGCTTTCATCAGATGCAGGAGATCTAGCTACTGTCAGCTGGAATATCCCAAGATTTCTGGTTTCAGTCAGTGTGGTGCTTGTTGATGTATGAATATGTACATGATCTTTTTACCACACATTTTTTACCATATCTGGGTTTTTATCACTCCATTCTAGTATGTCTTTGGTTTTGATATTAGAGATGTCAAATTGTGCAACTGCTCACATTACATTGTGTTTTCCTTCACACTAGATTTCTCATGTCTTCCATAGAGTCACTTCTTGTTCTTTAGTTTCCTAATTTATGTCACTATGGACAAAACTTCATATCTTCCCTCCATGTAGAAATCTGCAGGCCACATCCTTGCTGTTTTGTTTCATAGATATGACACTTGGTTGAATTTCCTTTTTGTAAAGATGCCTGAAATATGTATCTAATATATTTGAAAAGTATAATATTTCTTGCATCACCAAAGGCTTCTTTTATCAAAGCATATTAGACATATAGAACTTACTTAGTATGGAATTGTTGAAAGCATTCATGAATGAGTGAGTATGGTATTAGCCTTGTTCCCATTGTGCAAATGAGGAAAAATTAGTTCTTGGGATGATACCCAGCATAACAGTGATGGATGTGGATTTGAAGCAAAAAAGACTGAAAATAGAAGTCATATTTTCCTTATCACACTATATTCATTATCTATCACACAACTTAACTTTAAATTCCCAGCTGTATAGTTAACAAAAATGTACAGAGTATTCATAATTAAATGGTGATTATTGATACACAATATACAAAAAATATACTATTAATTGATATGACTATAAAAGTGTCATCTCTTAAGATGGGAACCTGTAAGTATCCCTTGCTACTGTCAGCTTCATTCTGCATTCATTATTAAAAAATGTTTTGTTGTTATTTTGCACAGTACTGCTGGCTGCTGTAAAGGCAGAATGGATGTCATGCTACCAGAACCTCAGAAAATTCAATATGGCTGATCACTGGATTGAACCAGTCCAGAAGAGAGAAGCACGTCTTTTCAGGTACACACATAACGTTTTAAGTCAAATTATGTCAAAATCTGGTGCACCACACAAGCACATATTTCTCTTCATTGATTCTTTCTAAAACTCTACTCAATCTCTGTTGTGTCAGGGGACAAGATAACACTAATTCTTGGTGTCTTAAGTCTTGTTGGAAAGAAACTTCGTCGTAGTTATGAATGCTTCAGGTTCACAAAATGTTGATGTCAAGTCTTCCATGCTTTTTTATTGGACTGCAGATAGTGGGCTTCTCTCTAGGTCTTCTTCTCTCTGTGTCTCATATTAATGTCTTCTCAGGACACCAGTGAAAACGATTAATGACAGAGACACTCTGTTTAGGAAATATCCACTGTGAAGGATTGAGTCCAAATCCTTTAAAGTTTATCAGAAGACACTTTCTCCCATATGTCTTGATTGTGAAAATGTCTTTTTAAAAGTTATATTAACTAAACTGTTGGTGAATGGGAATGACCATGTCTCTGGTCTGCATTTCCTGCAGTATCTTAATAGGCAATCATAATGACAAAAAGGGTTTTAGAAAATAATTGTTTGAAGCTTATAAGGAGGTTATTCCTACCTAGAAAGATAATTGAATCTCCCAGGTAAAGAGTAGCTCTTTAGAGTAGCTCTCTAGAGGCAGGAAAATGAAATGCATTTTTCTTGTATCCTGAGAAGTGCAACTAAAGGACAGTGAAAATAGATCTAGAGAATTCCTCCCATTTAAAGCCAGTATCACTTAACACAGCTTTTCATCCACTGTGATTTAGGGAGTTATTTATCTAGTAGTAAGTAATGAAATTAATTTTAGAATTAACTTTGATCTGATCAGACCCGCAAGATTAAAAAAATGGAACCAATCTGATTTATGAATTGAAAAGGTCAACATTATCCTCATGCTTCTTATTTCAAAATTGCTTCCTATCATATCCAACTCAGAATTCTCTATAAAGAAGTAGTGCATCAGGGTGGGATGAGTAATGAAGTTGAGCTTTCCCTTTGATGTCCTGATTTCCAGTGTATCTCATGGCTTGTAATGAGTGGGAGTACAAGGAAATAATTCCCCAGAGTAAATGTTATCTTTAAAAGGAAAAGAATCAGATATACAATAACTAGGATAATTAAATTATAAATGACTTACAGAGTCAGAACATTTTTTTACAGAACTAATATATATATATTTCATATATCATATATATTTGATATATGAAAAATAATATGTTTTTATGAGACTTAAATCCTATTATAGTCTCATTCTGGATGCATGTATGTGGAGAAGTGGAAATGAGAGTTGGCCTCATGGAATTGTGTACTAAATTCTATTGCATCTGCTCCAGTGTGTTTCTGACAAATCTTTTGCATGTTAGTTTCCATAGACTTTGCCTATTAAACAAGCCAATTCATTTTTTTGGCATTTCATTAAACCTTTTATGTAAGCATACTGTTTTACCTCTGCCTAATTCTGATTTATTACAAGAAATCCAAGAATGGGCAACTTCTCTTTTTACATGAAAGCTTCAACTGTAGTGCAGAGAACTCTTTCTTCACAGTCTGGAACACAGGCATCTCAGGTTATTTGTCAATAGCTGTGGGTTATCTCAGTGACCTCAATCTTTAGTGTATAAATGACTATATTCTTGAGGAGACATGTATGTGTGTTCAAATCTGAATCCCAATTTCCTCTTGTGAGTATACCAACAGTATTGGATTAAATCCAATCTGCTAACCACATTAACCTACATATCTCTATGTATACTCATGATGTCCTTATATTCTAGCAGCTGATCATTACACTCTAGGGTGATGAAAGACTGAAAGTTAAGGCTGAAGAATGTAAATTACTGGGAAAGAAATTTAAACTCATAACCCTTTGCTTTCTGTGTCTATACTAATGTTCTTTACTCATACCCTAAGTCCTGACATCTAACTAATTTTTTATTCAACCCCAAGTCCCATCTCACCAATACTTTGCCAATTAAGAACAGGTGACATATCAGGTGTGATTCATTCCAGCAAAGTTGCTCTTCAAATATACATCTATAAAACCATACCTGCAGTGTGTTCCCAGAATAGAGAGGTGGCACAGATATAGAGAAATTGGATATTTCCATTCCATGAGAGACAATTCACAACAAACTGAGTAGCTCTGAGCCTGAGGCAATCCAAAATTAGGTTGGCGAGTACCATCAGGTTGCAACAGAGGAGAATAATTTGCTTAGTCTTTACATGGGTCTACTCTCAGCCTGATAAGGTTCAGAAATCTTGACATGTTCAACATCTTTTCCAGCCATCAATGGAAGTATTTCTTTGGCTATCATCCCAGATACATTTTTGGTCCCATTCACTAAATGTTTTCTTTAGACTTGAGGTCTAAGATACAGGGAGTATTACACAGCCTCATTGCAACATATCAACCTTTTTGTTTTCAATTGAGGGTATTGGATTGATCATATGCAATCCCAAGATGGTTTCCCAGAACAAATCAATGTTTTCAGAGATACTGATGCCCAGATCATCATCATGTAATGATTCTTCTATAAGGTCTGTGAGAAACTATGACGTGATAAGCAATGACTTCTGAAATATTGCCAACTCTTTCAAAGAGGCTCAGTGGAAGGACAAGTGCTACACATGTTCTGACATATTTTAAAGCACTAAAATTTCTTCACCTTTTCTCAAGAGAACCAAACCATTAGTAATCACATCTTCTGAGATGATACTAAAATTGGACATGTTATTTTCTTTCATGGCTTCAAAGGAGCTGTACTTGAGAACCATATTCAGCTCATCTGGCTCTAATTTCTTTCCTAGGAAGTCACAGATCTTCAATATGGTGCTCTTTGTGTCCTAAAAGAAGACAAGACAAAAATGAGGGTGATAAACTGAAAGCTTTCAGAGAACACATGCAGAGATGGGAACTATAGATGGCAGGTGAAAATAGGGACATGAAGAAAGAAATTGCAACAGGAAATGAGAAAATATTGAGAGTTTAGGAAAGAAACAGGCCATGTAGAGATGGTAGGAGTCCCACACAGCCATTGTATATTGAGTGGCCTGCAATGTGGCTGATCTGTCATCCTAAATGATAGAGGCTGGGATTTGTTTTAGGGAAGAGAAGATATTAGAATGAGGGTCTCATATAACTGATGCTGTTCTCAAACTTATTTCATAGTGGATGAAGTCATTCAACATTTGATTCTCCTGCTTCCATCTCTGTAGTGCTGTGTTCACAGGTGTGTGCCAACCCACCTATTAAATGCACTGCAATGCTTTTTCCTGAGAGAGGGTCTCACAATGGAGCCCTGGCCTGTAGGACTGACCTTAAGCGCTAAGAGGTCAGAGATTCACCTACCTAGCTTTAACTTTTAATTGTTGGCATTAAAGGTGTGCATACCACTATACCCAACCTGCCCTGAGATGTTTAAAGAGACTTATAGAATTAATTCTAGACAGTGATAAATGGGAATGAAGGCAATGTGCACAAATAATTTGAGAGTGGTTAATGTTTACACCATGTAATATTGTTTCCTGTGGGTAACTGAGAATAATATGGTTTCATAAGATACTTCCATAAGAATGATCTCAGTAATTATTACTTGGGGTTGTTTTGGGAGATTTTATTTTGTTTTGATTTATGAGCTCATGCTGTAACTAAGAGGGGCATCGCATTCACAGTTTTTCTTCTTCAGATGCCCATATTCTGGAATTATAACTGTGGATTGCAACTACTGGCTTAATCCTTATAGTCATAAGAAGGCAGAATTTTGGAACACTGAAGACTTTTGTTTGAATTCTTGCCCTTGTCCTGAGCCTTAAAGATATTATTGGCTCAAAAGTTTTATTACATATGTTACCACAAATTGAGTTACTATTTCATGGGAAGGGAAAAAAACATGGCAATAACTGAAAAGAATGTGTTGAATGTTTGGACAGGAGACTTTCGAGAAACTGCACTACCATAAAACAGCAACAGCTGTGTAAGGAAGCTTCCTGGGGAATATTGAATTTTATAATGAGAAAGGAAAATATTTTACAAACGACAAAATAGTCTTTGGTGTTGCTACTTTCATGGCAACTTTCTGTTCCTGGATGATAACGTTAAGAGATCAAATTATTTTGAATGATCCAATTTTCTTGTTTTTGGTGCTCCTTAATATTGTTTTTATTAAAAATGAATTTTTGTTACTTCTACCAGTGGTGATATATTGTGCACACTAATAAATCTTACATGAAGATCAGAGGGCAGAGCCAGCCACTAGATTAGACATAGAGGTCAGGCAGTGGTGGCACACAACTTTAATACTATCAGAGATTTGTCTGCATCTCCATGAGTTCAAGGCCACCATGAACTACATGGGATTGACTCAGTCTAGAAGAGAAACAGAGCCAGACATTGGTGACACACACCTCTGTCCTGTGGCCTTGCAGTTCCCTGTTCAGGCCTCAGCTGCACATAGCCAGAGCCTCTATACTATGAGGGCTGCATGCCCTAACCCACTGGCTGAGCTTTTTTTGCAGCCTCTGTGCAACAAACTCCACAGGTCCTTGGGCTCTAAAAACACAGGAGTTAGCCACTTTGGAAAACTTCCCCCATGAAAACAGTTAGATCTTTTGTCCTTTTCTCGCTGGGTGGGTTAATGCTTTCTCTGGGCTGCCTCCCCAGGGGACACACTGTCATCTGAATGTCATTGTCAACAGATTTGGTGAGTCAATTGGGATTTTCAAAGAAGAATTACTTAATTGAAGTTTTTTCTCAAATGAAAAAAATTGGAAGAGATTTTACAATGGAGAGATTTTGGACTCTGTTTGATAATACAACTGATAATCTGAAAATGGACCAATTAAATGAACGTATAATTAATGCTGATGGGATTTATATAACATCAATTATAAATATTATTTTTGATCATTTCTTTTCTTTTTTTGTTATTAATAAAGTTGGTTAATATGAGTGCCAAGATATAAGTTTTAGAAAATCTTATTAAAACAGATCACAGAAATATTCAGACCCAGACAGAAGAATTTAATGGAGAACCAAACTTAACATTGCATTATAAGGTTACAGAGAAACAGCCTAAGTCTTTCATATAGCTAACCTTATTCTATGTAGTAACGTTACAGGAACTACCCAGTGATAGATATCCTCAATGTTGTGTAAGAGCTGACTTGACTCCAGTGCAAATGTTAGGTTTGAGGAAATTCTTAGAAGCAACACTCTCTTAGGCATCAACTCATCTTTCATGAAGCAGATGTTAAACTCGCGATCAACTTGTAATAAAATTATCCCTCAAGACTGGAGAGATTTGGTTACAGCAGTGTAGAGGCTGGACTCCAATTATAACAGAGGGTGTGGTGGAAAGATGAGACTAAGACCATTAAACATTGAAGTAGGTCTAGAGGTATGGAGATTTCCCAAGATCAACTTCTTGGAGAAGGAGATAATGCTGACATAGCAAGACAAACTTTTTATGATGACCACACCCTGGATATATGCTGAATGGTAGTCTTGAATACTTGGGACAGAACTAAAGTAGTAGGAAAGAAAATTGAGTCATAGTAAAGGCTATACAGGCCCCAAAAGAAACATCCACTGATTGTAGCATGAATCTTAGCAGTTCTTATTAATAAGATCAAACCCAAGGCCAGTTATTAGGGTCAATGCTGTTAGATCAGAGAGACAGAACAAGCCACAGCTACCTCACCTCGCCAGATCCTCAGCTGGTCTTGTTTCCTCAGACTGGAGGCCTCTGAGTCCTCATCCAGAATGGGTCTCAGCTGAACTGCTGCTCAAAAGCCTGAATGCATAACCAGCCAAATGCTTAACCAGCCAAATGCCGCTAGTTCCTGGTATTCACTCCTTGTATACCTTTCTGCTTTCTACCACCACTCCCTGGGACAAAAGCCTTGATTTATGGGACTAAATGAGTGATGAGTCACCATGCCTGTCAGTATCCTTGAACACATGGATTTCTGCCTCTGGAATGCTAGGATTAAAGGCGTGTGCTACCACTGCCTATCCTTTATGTTTAATATTGTGGCTTCTCTGTCTCTGACCCCAGATAAGTTTATTAGCATGCACAATATTTGGGGGAATACAATACCACAACTGATTTCTTAAAAAGACTCACTTCAGCAGTAAAAAGAATGATACCAAATTCAGAAGCTAGAGAGATAATAATTGAATCTCTGGCTTTTGAAAATGCTAATGCACAATACAAAAGGGTAATTAGGCTATTAAAGGCAAGATCAGCACCGTTCGAGGAATGGAACTGAGATACAATATATATTAAAACTCATGATCATAATGATGTGTAGTAGGAGAGGTGATTTCTAGAGGTTTGAAGAAAATAGTAATGCCAAATGTTTTAATTGGGGTAAACAAGGTCACCTAAAATGAGACTGTAAACAGGGTATTCCTAGAAATTATGTTTTTTCAAGGAATAATCCCAACAAAACACCCCTCCCTTCTGGATTATGCAGAAAGTGTGGCAGAGGCAGACATTGAACAAATGCATGTAGATCAACAAGGGACAGGCAAGGTAATTCCTTGCCTTTGCCATTATGAAACTCCCTGAGGGGTATCTTGAAGGCCCCCATGTCAAATTCCATTGAATACTTTCCTGTAATCCTGTAGTAAACTCCTTCCTAGAGCAATTAAAGAACCTAATGCCTATTTTAAAAATCCACACTGCTTGGAGTGATAGAATAGCCATAGAAAAGAGAATAAAAATTACATCTTTAGAAAACAAAAGAAAAGTTTAAGGAGAAACCATAAATCAAATTTGATAAATATTAGAAAAGGGAAACTCCCCAATGTTAGGATTAGGACAGGGTTTTGTTTTTGTCTTTCAGAAGAATGAAGGCTAAGGAATCTGAACAACACTGTACAAATGAGACATCTGAAGAAAAAGGATAAACCATCCAAAAAATTCTCAAGAAAAAGAGTAAATTGGCTTATTGGTATATCACATATCTAATAGGAGAAAATTCCATTAGTCTTCCTAAATGTCTGTTGCTGCTGTTCTCTATAGACACATAGCACTATTGGTCTTCATGTAGTCACAGTTCAATTAAAAATCAAAGCTGGTTTTGGAATTGGTATGTGCTTCTCTTCTTCTCTAAAGTCAAACATGTTTGTTAAATGAAAATGTAAAATCTCTCTATCATGTCAGAAGAGCCACCTGATATGGGACAGAAAAAAAAACAAAATTAAGGGAATATTCTATTGCTATTAATCTCATGATCCTTTGGTTTTGTTTTGACTCTTTAAAACTTTTCTTAAAATATGAATTTTATATTAAAATTTATAAGATTAGTATATATATGCATATATATTAAATTTTTTCATGATATTAATGGCCATATAAATTAATAACTAATTCTATAAAAAAGGCTTCATCTAGCTTCCTATGCATGATTTTGGGTTTTAGTCTCTATCAGTTTTCTTCAGTGGACCATGCCATGCCCAAAAGCAACTTTGAAGTCTCCAAAAACATGATAGGGCCCCACAATGATGTATCCATCAGGACATGGTAATGCCACCAAGCTGACAAACACCACCCAAAGATTGGCTTTGGTCTGAAAACTGCTCCAGATAATATTGAGATGGCTAATTAAGATAATGCAGACTCACAGACTACTCCAATCAGGATTCGACCATATTCCTAAATTTTCTTTATGTCCCCATAAGACTACCAGTGCTCTCAATCAGTAGGAAGTAGCCTAGAAAACAATGACACTTTCCAAAAATATGGATTATGGATGTTTTTCTGTTTAGGGGTTGGTTAAAAATAGTGAAGCTCTTTCTAAAAGAATTAAATTGGATATAATATAGAAACATATTATAT